CCTCTCCTTCTCTGAACCATATATCCCGCATCACTTATATTGAATCCTGCATAATCGTGGGTTGAATAACCCACTGCTATGCGGTGGGCGCAAGTGAGTTGCATCGCGAAAGCGAGTTTCACCGCCCCAGATTTCTCAACCACCCAATTTGTATTGCAATTGAATCTTCATCTTCTTCATCTTCTGACGCAATTGAATCACGGCCCCATATACTCCTTTTCACGCTTGTTTTCCTGGATCTGTCATGCCTGAGTTCCTGTAAGGACCCCTCCTTTTTGTAAGACCTTCCGATTCCCTCGAATCCTAGACTTCTGTTAATTTTGAACCCTATTATGAAGGTCTTCGTACTGCCGGTCCCGGACTTCTGCAGTCAGAAGGACGTTCTGGACCCCTCGTATTGTAGAGTCGATTTTCCGGCGTGTAGGACTACTAAATATATCAATCTTCTCTGAGATTTTTGATGCTATTTCTTGAAGAGATCTCTCAGCTTGAACACCTCTTACTGGTGTTTGAGGACAGGTTAATTCAATCGCTGTCGCCATTGACATCGCCATCGCTGGTACCATATACGTCTTCATTTTCTTAAGAGCTTTCTGGCAATTAATTGGCCAGATCCCAGACTTTCGGAAGGCACCTTGAATAGTCTCTTCTTTCATAGTCTTTTCCCTGATTTCCGTTAAGTCCCGGAAGAACGATGAAACTGTATATTCAATATCTAGACGCCGGGTTGCATCTTGTACAGCCTTCCGGTGCCAGTGTTTATACGGCTGAAAAACACCGACATCAAGAGGTTGAAGAACATGCGTCAAGTGGCTAGGAAAAGGAAACGGGTGTATATTAGCTTCTGTAGCTTTAATAATAAACTCCGGGGTCATATGACTACCGTGTTGATCCATTAATAAAACCCTAGGATGTGCATTTGCCCCAGCTTGTATATGAAGAATCAAGTGATCAAGATATTCAAGAGCTAATTGGGAGTTGATATATCCGGAATCAGACATTAATACCCTTGTATTTCCGTCTAATAAGGTATACCAATTCGTCATATGATTCACACCTTGTACAATTAGAACAGGAGGAATAGTTGTTCCATTTGCAATAATCGATTCTATAACGGTAATAGAACGTCGATTTTCAGGGCTAGGTGTATACAATGGCTATAGTTTATTAGCTAACGTATTTCCCAATCGAACCGTGCACCCAGTCGAACCGTGCAAAATAACCACCAAAATACAACTTCGTAGGTATATTATAACAACAACCCTTTAAAACACTCTAGCTATCTACAGTAATTGAATCTAATACCTCGTTGCATATACGAGCATTATGTCCAACTTGATTACATGTGCCACATCGTCGTGGTTTCCCTTTCCTGCGCTGACCCTGTGTGGCATCACCACCCTCCTCCTCCTGAGTTTGAGTACTCCATACGAGCTCATCACCTCCTCAATTGTCAAGCTTCCACCTAATTGAATACGCTTTCTTCGCTTGTTTGCCCTTCGCTTTTTGAGTGCATTCGCCTGCTGTAGCGCCTTGACTTCAGCTTTAAGGAGTGTAAATGAATGGGCTATTATTTGAGCTCCTTTAGCAAGCTGGTTAAATGCCTCATTTATTGAGCTTGGAGAGCTATTCTGATGTCGTACGATTCGATTCTTAAGGTGTGTTGTTTGGAATTCAACTTCAGTCGCATTCTGGGGTGTCTTTGAGGTCCAAGTCTCCTATTCAACAGGTGGTGGGGTTGGTGTTTTTAGTCGGAGATCAAGGTGCGAAAGGACAGTATTTGGATCGTATGGAACTAACCCTATAACTAAGTTAGTAGTATTTACTATAAAGATTATTATAATTACCTGTTGCTCGAAAGCCACTCTTAATATTCTGCTCTGTAAATGCAGCTTTATATGCTTCTTTAAAGGCAGAGAGGAACTCAAGCTTTGTGATATGGTGAATACGGAGTCGTACGAGACCCTCGACCTGCTTTCCGTACGAGGACTTTAGTGGGCTAAAACACCCAACATCAAGAGGCTGGAGGAGGTGTGATGAATGTGGTGGCATACAGAGGGTAATAATTAGGTGCTCTTGACAATACTGTGTCTATAGGGGTACTCTGACCTTGGACCTCCTTTTACTTCCTATAGGCTACGAACCTAAGAGAAGGTTCTATGGGATTCTCTTATGTCGACTACAGTTACCAAGCCTGGTAAGTCATGGAAAGTCTTGGAAAATGAGAGAACTACATTCCTTTAGCATAAATAGGATTGCCCTTTCCTTAAGAAAGGGCAAGCAGACAATACAGTAAATTGACTATCACATACTTCCACGTCTTTTCCAAGCTTCCAAGCATTCATCTTGTTACTCCTTGTTTCTGAAAAGTCAGTGAGGTGTTAACCTCTGACTTACCCCTGAGTTCCCAGACTCAACATTTGTTGCAACTTCTCTGAACCACTTCACTACATCACACACCTGATTGCTGCGTTGTGGAATAGTCTAAGCTACGACCCTTTGGCTCTGTTTTCTAAGACAGTGTGTTGTCTTAGTAAATTCATCCCTTCCTTGGGTGGCTAGATTCTCACATCTGGTGCACGCACCATTACATTTTCGTCCAAACTTCGTTTTAATCTCCGTACGACGCGTGATAAAGTTCGAGGTCCAATTCTTACCTACAGGTGACGCGTCGCGTTCAGCGGAGTAGGTCCGCCATTTCTCGTTCAGCAGCTGGCCGAGGTGGGAATCCACGCGAATCAAGGTCAAGAATGTATCGTACGATAGCTTCCTCTTCTTGAGAAGTAAGCCTTTGAGTATTTGAGGGTGTGTTGCATCGGGGAGCTGTTTTATCCTATCACGAAGGGTTTGAGGAGGTATATCGTATGCTATTGCAGCAGCTCGTACACTTCGAAATTGATATAATTTAATTGCTTGTATAGCTAAAAGAATCCTACCTTCTTGATTAGAAGAATAAGCTTGTGTTGGAGACATATTAGTTGTATGGAAGGAAGACGCATTTTGGTGGTTATTTTGCACGGTTCGACTAGGTGCACGTGTCATGACACTCCTTCGATATTTGTGTCACGACCCTTTGATTCGCTTTAGTCTCTAGTACTTATTGTAATGGTGGGTGCACCAGATGTGAGAATCTAGCCACCCAAGGAAGGGATGAATTTACTAAGACAACACACTGTCTTAGGAAAAAGAGCCAAAGGGTCGTAGCTTAGACTATTCCACAACGCAGCAATCAGGTGTGTGATGTAGTGAAGTGGTTCAGACAAGTTGCAACAAATGTTGAGTCTGGGAACTCAGGGGTAAGTCAGAGGTTAACACCTCACTGACTTTTCAGAAACAAGGAGTAACAAGATGAATGCTTGGAAGCTTGGAAAAGACGTGGAAGTATGTGATAGTCGATTTACTGTATTGTCTGCTTGCCCTTTCTTAAGGAAAGGGCAATCCTATTTATGCTAAAGGAGTGTAGTTCTCTCATTTTCCAAGACTTTCCATGACTTACCAGGCTTGGTAACTGTAGTCGACGTAAGAGAATCCCATAGAACCATCTCTTAGGTTCGTAGCCTATAGGAAGTAAAAGGAGGTCCAAGGTCAGAGTACCCCTATAGACAAATTATGTCATAGACAAATTATGTCATAGACAAATTATGTCATAGACAAATTATGTCATAGACAAATTATGTCAGAACTTAACCAATCTTGTGGGTAACTAAAGAGCGATGACATGTAATGAATCATAGAGAGTTGTAGAGATATGCTATGTGGTAATATCGGCCCAGTAACTAAGGAGCGATGACATGTAATGAATCATAGATGGTTGTAGCAATCGTTGAGTAGTATTGCTCTTGTTGTTGGTGTGATAAACCAAAATATGTATAGTGACTTGTAGGTTTGAGGAGGAGATTTCCAAGTTTGCTCTTGATTTTGATAGCAAACTGAGTGCAACGAATGTCAGTATGACACTTATTTCACTATGTCATTTACTTCACCTGCTTCGCTCACTTCGCTCACTTCGCTTCACTTGCTGACCTAGATCAGCCCAAATGTTGACTACTGGCTTAGGCTCTCTTGTTATTGGCTTGCTGCACTAGGGCTCGCTTAGCTAGGGTTCAGTTAATTAGTGCCTTCACTTATTTGGCACTAGGGATTTTTACTGTTATATAAGCACTTATTGCTCATGTCTCTTATTGATCTTTAGCTAGCAAATTATATACTACTTGGCATTCTTGCAATTCCTCCTGCTTCGACTTACTTTGCATTCCCTTACTTCGAGTCGAACCACTTGGCCAACCTGTTAGTCTCACCACTTGACCCCTGTGGTATAAAGTATATGCTTTGGAGCCTGAACTACTATACCTTGTCCTACTGCTTCGAGTATCGAAGTCTTCACATTATACTTCAGATACTTCTGCAGACTTGAAGGTCAGCCTCGGTTCGAACTGTCCTTACATATCACCAGGCTGAATATCATGGGCTTCACACTAAGTTATTCAATTCTTGAATTAATCTTGTACATCCTTAACATCTTGTGCACTGACTCGGTTTCGTGCAATTGGCTTTGTTTTTAGTGTATGAAGAAAACCCGGGGTTGTTTTTATGTAGTTTTGAAACCATCGCCAGGACGGTCATGGTCTGCCTTCTAGATCCTTTAGGTATTGATTATCGCAAAGACCATCTGTTTCATAGCCCCGAGGCCTGTCCTGTGCATATTGTCTGCATATGTAATAATAGCTTCGTGTTGTGGCCTAGAGAGGATTCGATTCTGGCCTCCCGTGTATTATATGAGGGCAGTCGTCGCCGCGTTGCTTCTTTCGTCGTATCCTCGATTTGAGGGTTTGAGGATTCACGTGGAAAATACATGCGGCGGTAGTCTCACTCTCGTCAGGATTGGCAGTAGCCCAGGCAATTGCCTGGGCTATAGCCTCTTCGTATTCGTGGGTTGCAGGTGGTGGCATTGTTCAAGGTTCAATTGCAATACAAATTGGGTGGTTGAGAAATCTGGGGCGATGCAACTCGCTTGCGCCCACCGCGTAGCGGTGGGTTATTCGACCCACGATTATCCTCTAACTTATCCTGTCAGTCGTCTTCCTACTCGCCAAGAATTCCTGTTAAAAGAATGGGCAAAAGTTTTATATACCCGGTAAGTTCATAAATAAGTTTTATATACCATGGTGATTCTTACTAAGCAGGAAACCACTCAACGTGCTCGGTGCGTTGCCTCCCTCCCTTGCGTTGCCTCCCTCGCCATTGCTCCCCCTCGCCGTCACCCTCCTCGCTGTCCCAGCTGACTCGCTATCCGCTGCCCTCACTGAGGCACTCGACGACTCTTCGGAAGCCCTCGTCGCGAGGCATCGGAAGTCCTAAGCTCGGCTCAGGCCCACGAGGATGGCTTCTCTTGGCGAGCTGACCGTTCCTATGAACGGTCAGCTCTACCTCGACCTAGACGATTCAACGATCATCGTCTTTTCCAACCTGTTCATCGTCTTAACGTGGCCATTAGACACCCAAAATGCCTCAAAAAAGGCCGATTACAGTCGACCAGCGGCATGCCCTTCGACACTGGGCCCACCAACAAGTTCCAAAGCCAACTCAGCGGCAGTGTATCGAATGGTTTGAAAGACAATATCATCACAAGTTAAGCCAGTCGACTATTTCTGAATCACTAAGTAGCAACTTTGAGGCCCTTGATAAGAACCAAGACACTGGAATTCAACGCCGTCGACTAGGCCAGTGGCCAAAGCTAGAGAATATCCTTTGGGAGTGGCAGAATCGGATTGAAGAAAAAGGAGGGTTTGCAACTGGCAATATACTACAGCAGAAGGCACAGCAGATCTGGAAACGACTGCCAGAATATGCTGGCCAAGAGTGCCCATCGTTTTCTACTGGCTGGCTCGAAAAATTCAAAAAGCGGCATCATATACAATCACGACAGCGGTTTGGAGAGGCGGCATCAGTTCCGGAAAACGTCGAGGAAGAAATGAGGGCACTACGGACAATAGCAGGGGAGTTTCAAGAAGAGGATATATACAATATGGACGAAACTGGACTCTTCTGGAAGATGATGCCATCACGAGGCCTGTCATCGCAACTCCAATCTGGTGTGAAGAAGAATAAGACTCGGATCTCCCTGGTTTTCTGCGTCAACGCTACTGGAACAGACCGACTCCCTGTTTGGGCAATTGGCCATGCAAAAGCACCTCGAGCACTACAACGAATCAATATACCAACAATGGGGGCACAATGGAAAGTGAATAAGAAGGCTTGGATGACTGGAATACTTATGAGCGAATGGCTTCAAGCCTTTTATCAGCATATTGGAACTACTCGGCAAATACTCTTAACAATGGACGGCTTTTCAGCACACTATACAGGGGCTGAGCTTAACCCTCCTCCCCCTAATATCCGCATTTGTTGGCTTCCAGCTAACAGTACCAGTCGTTTCCAGCCTCTTGATCAAGGAATTATTCAAAAAAAAGCTTATTATCGACAACATTGGCTTCGGTTTATAATCGACACTATCGATTCAAATCAAGATCCACAGAAACTTATGAATCTTCGACTCGCTCTTCGCTGGATTATTCGTGCTTGGAATACAGAAGTTTCAAACACTACGATATACAACTGCTTCCGGAAATCTACACTTGTTTCAAATCCAATTAGCCTTCCAACAATAACGATGCCTACTGGAATACAAGAACTCTACAACCAAGCGATAACTACAGCATCAATTACAGACTCAATGGCTATTTCGAACTTTCTAAACCCTGTGGAAGAGGCTAGAGCAGTGGAAGGACAGACTACCGATGAAGAACTACTTGAGGAGATAATAGAGGGGCAACTTGGGCATCAGAACTCTCAAAATGATGACGAAGAGGAGGAGCAGCCTGAGCAGCCTGCGCCTACAGCAAAGGAGGCCCAGGATGCCCTCCAGATACTGATTGAGTATTCTGAAGGCCAGGATGCTCTTACTACGGGGCATATACGGGCACTAGAGTGGCTGCAAACAGCCATTGAGGCTATTCGAGCACAGTCACAGCAGCAGGTTACGTTAGATAGGTGGCTTACATAATATTACTCTATATAACGTACTCCACAAGCGAGCGGCGCACACAAGTAAGTGGCGCACGCATCACGAATTCTAACGCGTATAGTATCCTTTAAATCAATATGTCTCAACCAATTGACCTGCAATTAATCCACAAAGAGGGTCGAATGACTCTTGCACTCCAAGCCTATAAAAACGGCCATTTTACGAGTGTTAGAGGTGCTGCGGTCGCGTACGATCTTCCTGAGTCCACTCTGCGGGCGCGCGTTAAAGGACGGACCGCGCGACGCGATTTACGGTCCGCAAACCTCAAACTTACAGCTACTGAGGAGTTAACACTTATCCAATGGATATTATCTATGGAGGAACGAGGCCTACCACTTAGAGCTAATTCCTTTCGACAAATGGCAAATCTACTTCTTCAAAAATGGACTGACGCAGACCAGGATCAGACTCCTACAGTTGGCCAGAACTGGGTTTATAATTTCGTACGACGACACAACTCCCTCCAATCAAAATACACCCGTAAATACGACTATCAGCGGGCAAAATGCGAAGATCCTACGATTATTCGGGACTGGTTTCGGCTTGTATGGAATACAATTGCTAAATATGGGATTCAAGAGGAGGACATCTACAACTTTGACGAGACTGGGTTTCAAATGGGAGTAGTCACGACCGCGAAGGTAATTACAGGTTCTGAGCGGGCTGGCAAGCCAGTTTGCGTACAGCCAGGGAACCGCGAATGGGTTACTGTTATTGAATCAATATCTTCAGACGGATGGAGCTTGCCAGCAATGGTTATTTTTGAGGGCAAGGTTCATATATCTACTTGGTACACAGACACTTTGCCTTTAGACTGGACAATTGCAGTTAGTGAAAACGGGTGGACGGACGATTCTCTAGGCCTTGCTTGGCTTACGGACGTCTTTCAGAAGCATACAAAGGACCGTACGAAGGGGGTTTATCGGCTTCTTATTCTCGACGGACACGGGAGCCATTCGACTCCAGAGTTTGACCTATTCTGTTCCGAGCACTCAATTATTACGCTTTGCATGCCGCCACATTCATCACATCTCTTACAGCCATTAGACGTTAGCTGTTTTGCGGTTCTAAAACAGTCATACGGACAACAAATTGAAAGATATATGCAGGTTGGACTAAACCATATTGACAAACCGGATTTCCTTACAGCCTACCTTTCGGCCCGCAAAGAGTCTATGGCCCTTAATGTGGTCCGTAGTGGGTTTGCAGCTACAGGTCTAGTCCCGTACGACCCAGAACGAGTGCTGTCAAAGCTTAATACTCAGTTACGGACGCCAACTCCACCTCTGCTTCTTCCTGCCCTACAAGACTGTTGGGTACCCGAAACGCCTCATAATGCTAGTCAATTAGAGCTTCAGGCTACAGCAATTAAGGGGCGCATTCAACGTCGTACAGCAGGTTTATCAAGTCCTACAGATCAGGCGTTCCAGCAGCTAGTTAAAGGCTGTCAAATGGCTATGCATAATGCGGCTCTTCTAACGGAGGAAAACAAGCAATTGCGGACCGAAAATGAAAGACAAAAGAAGAAGAGAGCAGTAAGGAGGTCGTATGTAGCTAAAGGAGGTGTTTTGACAGTCCAGGAGGGCCTAGATCGACTACAAACAGCAGATATAGATATTGTAGGTAGGGTTGCAGGTCAACCTACAGAGCCACAAACTCGTGCACCACGGACGTGTAGTATGTGTAAATCACTCGCGCATACTGCCCGTACGTGTCCATTAACGGAGGTTTCTAATTAGGGTAGTTCTATAGGGTTTAATAAATTGTATTGTTGTGAAATTAACCTCTAGAGTTATAGAATTCGTGATGCGTGCGCCACTCACTTGTGTGCGCCGCTCGCTTGTGGAGTACGTTAACAATATATACGATAAGACGATGGAAATGCTTGCTACGGATGCCATCGTCTTAACAAGGGTTTGACTGTATATAAAACTTATCACGTCAAATGCAGGGTATATAAAACTTTTGCCCTAAAAGAATATATATCTTGCCAAGAATCTCCGCCAAGACCATTCCGCCCCGCCCAGCCCCACTCGTCATTGCTTGTCAGGTCAGTGAAAGGTAAAGGAAAAAAGAAAATGCGAGAGCGAAAGACTGGCGGCAAGGCCCTTGATCAAAGCTGCAAAAGCCTGTAAGATTACTGTGGCGTTTGCCTCAAATCCTCCAAACGTCGTTTTATCCACCACTTACTCCTCCTACTCACCCACTCCTCACTTCTCTGCGTATAGCCTGAGTGAAAACTCCCCCGACTCGCTATACTCGTCCATCCTCAGACCCTCATAATTCCCTCATCACCCACTCCAGCCCGCGGAGCCATCTGCATGAATGCGATCAGTTACTACAGTGAGGTCACGCGCTGGCTGTTGAGCCATGCCACCGACACCGATATGTCTCTCGTGCAGTCGATTGTGACCTGTGGCGCCCTCTTCTGGTCAGTCCACACGCGAGCAGATACCTAGAGAGGCAACAAACTGACCATACCCTGCAGGCTCCTCCATCGTGCATGGCTCACTCTCTGGAAGCCGGTCCCAGATCTCATCACTATCCTCGGCGTCGAAGTCTTAGAGCCTCCGGAGGTCTCGTTGACGGGCATAAAGGCCGATGCCGTCACTCTCCACTGGGCTGGGCCTGGACACACGAAAGTGGTGCTCAAGAAGTACTTGATCCAGGTCAACGGTGTTAATGGTAACTACAACCCCGCTCCTCACGGCTGAGGCATATAGCTAATCCACGCTCCGCAGTTGGCGAATCGTCACGTCTCGAGACCGCCATCACTGTAACAGGACTTAAGCCGGGCCACTTCTACAACGTCCGAGTCATAGCCGTGGGCAACAACAACTTCCAAGCCGGCAGCCGTGTCATTCGCCTGCGAACCTACAATCGTGATGGCCGACCAGACCTAGGCGGACGCATACTGAACAACCTCGCAAGCGAAGACGCTGCAGGCACCGTAGTCTATAGCAGCGACGAGTCAGCGGGCGTCCGCAGCCATGGAGTTGGGATTGAGGCGGCTTCGATGCCCGAGGGCTTATCGGCGTTGGCGCGAGAGCCAAACAGTCGTGCTGGCTCGAGGAGGAACACAGGTGCACGGAAGCACTCGCCGTCGACGGCGAGCGAGCACCCACCCATACCGTCGAATTTACCGGAAGGATCTATGCTCCAGCTTACGGAGCGGTTTGAATCGATACGTGGAGAGACGGAGGAGGTGATTTCGCAAGTGGCTAAGGATGCGGATGAATTTAAAGCGCAGATTGCGGAGCTGATACGCGAGAGGGGCGAGAAGAGGCACCTATTGAAGGAGAAGGAGGATGCGAGTGAGAGGCTGAAGAAGGAGGTGCATTCGTCGGAACGACTGAACCGGCAGGCACAGACAAGGAAGACGCAGAAGGAGAAGGCGGTGAAAGAGCGGGAAGCGGAGAGGATGAAGATGAATGATGAGATGAAGAAGTGGGAGAAAGATATCCAGGAAATGCAGGCGGAGAGGGAGCTGTGGGAGAAGGAGAAGGATAAGATTGCGTCGGATGCAACCAAGAAGGTGGACGAGCTGAAGAAGATCCTGAGGAAACGACAAAACTCGCTGAATTCTATGGAGGAGGAAATCCGTGTCAAGGGATTGCAGATCAAGGAGCTGGAAGAGGAAAGACAGAAACTCCCTGGTGCTCAGGATGAGGAAGCGAAAGCCCTGGAGGCTGCTGACAGGCTTCGGGATTTACAATGGGACCATACAGAACGGGAGTTGATGACAAGATACAACGCCCAGAGCATCACCGTTCGAAACCTCGAGACAGACCTCCACAAGGCACAGGCGCACTTTCAGATTCTGAACGCACCTCAAATAGCCAACCCCCTCCTTCCGATGGGCGACAGCTCTGGGGTGTCGTTCGATATCAGCGGGCAGCCACGGCCGAAGCGTCGGAATCGACAGCGCAAGTCACGTACGAACACGATATCCTCGCCTGTCGATGCGTATCCAATTACCGACTCGGCGTTTCCCAGCGGGAGCATCTATAATAACATGGCTCTAAATGCTGCCCCAAGCTTTGCTCCGGGGCCGTATTTCGACATGAGCGCTAATTCTGGTGCTGGCACTTCCCCTGACCACCATCATGGCATGAGCGAGGCTGATATCCGTTCCCTCACTGCTGGTGAACCTCTCAGTCCAACTGCGACATCTCTACTGCCATCGAATATATTTATCGATGATGACCCGATGGAGAACCCAACGCGTTCCTCTTTCGGTCCCGCCCAATTCCCTACCCTTGGCCCGTCAATTTACGAGGCTGAAGAGCAGCAATCACCAGGATCATCAAGTCACTCAGATAGCCTGGTCTCCAGTCCACGGAATTCCCAGCAGAATCTATGCTTCTCGCTGCAATCGCAAGACAGCCACCCCGATTCGGACAGACGCCCCATCGGTTCCCGCGGTTCTACCGGTGGTGCTTTTGGCGTCATTGGCTCTCCAACCGCCGAAAGCCCCCAGCCTGTAACCAAGCGCTTTGGCGACCTCTTCGCCTTCACCGGCAAGCAGCGCGCAAAGACCCTAAGCAGCGACATCGGCCACCCCCTCGGCTCACTCAAGCCCGGGCAGAGCCAGTCCTTCCCACGCCAGGAAGACGTCGACGCCGCCGCCGCCATCAAAAACCGCCGCACGAGCTTCACCTCCGGCTGGGGCGGAATCCCTTTCCTCAACCGCGCGAGCACCGTCTCCGAGATCACCGAAGGCAACGCCCCAGCACCAAACCGCAACCTCCCCCGCCGCCGTCGCCGCTTCAACATGTTCGGCTCCAGCATCGACGACCCGACCCTCACCGACCGCGACCCGACCAGCCCTCGCCCCGCCTCCATCGCCTCCTCCGATCTCCCCCGCCCATCCACCGATAGCGCGCCCTTCGGCTGGGCCCCATCGGATAGCAACATCCTAACCCGCAACTCCCCTCTAGCGACCAACTGGTCCCTCTCCGTCGCCCAGCCCTGGTCCCGCACCCCCTCCCGCCGCCCCTCCGTCCAATACGCATCCACCACCCAACTCACCACCGGCATTGCAACCGAAGACGACGATTTCCTCCCCCCCGACACCCTGTCCACCGCCTCTCCGCCACCTGTAGGCGTCATCGGCACCCGTCCCCCGTCCCAGATGTCGGCGACTGCTAAACTCAACCCCGCGGCGCCGACATTCAAAGCCATGTTCAGCCGCGCAAAGGACAGCACCCACCACCGTCCCCGCCACGGCTCGGACGAGCACGAGGAGCATATCGACGACTACCCCAGCAGTGTTAGCCGCGCTAGCCGCGACGCGCATAGTGTCCACACTGCCAACAGCGTGGCGGAAAGCTACGACTCCCTCGAGGGCGCGGTGAGCAATACTGCGCTTAGTGAAATCGCCAGCGGGTCATTCGGCGGGAGCAGCGTCGGGCGGGGCGAGAACTCGTTCCAGAAGCTCCTGAGGAAGGGGTCGAGCAGTAAATTCTCCATCTCCTCATTTCGCGGGAAGGAAGTTGGGCTTTTCAGCAAGAGAGGCGAGAGGAACGCTAGCGCAGACCGCTCGAGCAGTTTCGGGGAGGGAGAGGAGGAATTCGCCCTTGGTGTCGGCGGTGTGGGTGGTGTGAGTGTTACTAGCTCGCCCATGCCGCCTGCCTCTGCTGGTGGTGCCGAGAAGGGGGAGGGGAGGATGAGCGTTAATTGGGGGAGGTTTGGGATTAAGAAGAAGGAGAGGGGAAGGGTGAGTGAGGATATGGAGAGGGCTAGTGAGGCGGAGGGGACGGAGGATGAGGGGAGGGGGAGGTAGGGGGGTGGTTGTGGGTGTGGTGTAAGTTAGTGATGTGAGCGAGTAATGATTGAGTTGATTCCCACTCTATTTGATGTATGTTGTGTCGTGTTGTGATGAATGTGAGGTCTATGTGTAATTAGTACTTGCCCTTAATGCGTTTACACCTACCAAATTGGGTGGTAGCAGCATTTGGACAACGTATTATTCCTACCGTTGTAATTTCTCACTTTTAACCCCTAAGACTACTACACAGCACAACAATCGAAAACAAGAACTTGCTCCTTTGAGTCCGCCTATAGCATATCTTCTATAGCATATCTTCTTTCATTATTGTCTATATTTTTTAGAAAGCTATATAGGAAGATGTTAATGCCGAAGGAGACCCTTACAAGGTGTGTAGCCCTAGAAGAGCCGAGTTGGACATCTTCAAACTGGAGCGTGATCTCCTATGGATGTGCAGTCAAAACCACCTTTCCACGCACAAGTCCATCAGCAGTAGCCGTAACAGTAACTAGTCCCAAAGCCTTCTACCCCCCCTTAAAGCGCACAATAGCCAGCGAGAGCCACTATATGCCTTCCGCTCCTTCGACGCGAAAGAAACCATCTCAGCAGGATCCCCATTATCAGTAGCGACTATTTCACCAGGACCGCTGATGGAGAACGTAATACTCGTATCCGCCTGCGCCACGAAGTCGCCCTTACGATCAACGACCTCAACAGTGATAAACGACAGATCAAGGCCGTCGTTTTTAATAGCCGTTCGGTCAGCAGTCATCTTCAACTGCGCCGCCGCCGCCGCCGTCCGCACCGCGTCCCGAGCCCACTCCTTCCCGTTCTTGTAGGTCACCACGTACACCTCCCCAGGCTCATAGACTACATCATTCCACCGGAACCGGTACGTATACGCCTCCCCCTTCTGCCTACCCTGCGATTTCCCATTAACAAACAACTCCGCCTCATCCCCCGCCATGAAACCATGCACCGGCGTCACCAGCCCCACCCGCTCCGGCCAATTCCAATGCGGCAGTATATGCGCGGTCCGCAGATCAGGACGCCAGCGCGACTGGTAGAGGTAAAACCTATCTTCTTAGACCCCGCGAGGTCGAGGATCCCGGAGTAGGAACTGCGAGCGGAGTAATACGGTGTCGGCTCCCCGAGGTAGTCTATCCGTCCAGACCATTTCGCCAGTCACATAGGAGTTCTTGTCATCTGCGGCGAAGACTTTGTCGGGGGAGGACCCGAAGCCCGCAGTGTAGAGCTCGTAGGCGCTGACTTCGTCGCCGGAGGTGTCGTTGACGGGGGCGCTGGTGTAGCCTGTTACTGGGAAGACGTACGTCCCGCGCGTTCTGACTGTTGAGGCAGTCTCGAGCTTACAATCATTTTATTTGGGAAGTTGGCGTGGTAGGCGGGGTAAAGAGGTTGCCTAGCGATACCCGCGAGGTTGGAATAAGCCTCCGTGCCCCGAATGCCCGCGCCCTGGTAGTTGATCGACAGGAAGTCTACGATGCATGTCAGGGGTAGCGTAGTTCTCCGACGCAGTAGACCCCGAAGATGGAAGGGTGGTTGCGGTCCCGCTGAACGAAGGAGCGGAGGCCTTGCTCATGCCAGTCTGGGAAGATGAGGAAGAAATCGGAGGCTGTCTTGCCGATTTCCCAGGAGTCGAAGATTTCGTCTAGAACGAGGATGCCCATGCGGTCGGTGAGGTCGAGGAGTTCGGTGGCGGGGGGGTTATGCGACATTCTGATGGTGTTGCAGCCTAGTTCGAGGAGCTGCTCTAGTCGTCGTTCGGCGGCGCGGACGTTGAAAGCTGCTCCAATGGCGCCGAGGTCGTGGTGGTTATTAATCCCTTGAATGACTACCTTCTCGCCGTTGACGGAGAGGCCGTTGGTGCCGTCTAGTACTACGGTGCGGATGCCAAAGCGAGTCTCGTAGGTGTCAATCACATCACGGCCAGAGAGAAGACGCGTCACGGCAACGTGAGGTTTGGCTTCTGCGCCGGGACTGGACCCCACAATCGTGGATGGCTGATCTTGACTGAGGCCTCGACAGCTTGCCTCTCGCCGACTTGAACGCTCACTGCTGCCTTCGGGAACGAGGTTACTTTAGCTCCCGTGAGTCCAGTGACCGAATCGAAGATGTGCACATTTGTCACTACGTCGATTTTCCGGCTGGTAGTTGCCTTGGTTTCAACCTGGACAACGAGGTCCAGGGTGGCTGATTTAGCGGAGACATCTTTCGATATGATATATGTTCCTGACTGGCCAATATGCGTTGGGCTGACTTTTGTGAGCCAGACATTTCGGTAGATACCACCGCCTGGATACCAGCGAGCGGAATTGGGGGGGTTGTCGACTCGAATGGCCAACTGGTTATCACTGCCCGGCTTGAGATATGGGGTAAGATCCAACCAGATTGCCATTAAGCCAGACAATAGCGTAGGACAAGGCGCCATCAACGTCAAGATAAATAGATTTCCCTGCATCTGCTGGGGCTACTGACAGCTTGCGGCGATGCCAGCCAACTCCATGCACAGGAAGCCGACCCATCCCACCTCCAATTATGGGATTCCCTTCAATATAAAACGGCCCGTTAATAGCCTAGTCATGCGGCAAATCGATCGTATCCCACGCGCTATCATCGAACGTCTTCTGCACATATTTAACATCGCCAACGGGGTTGCCAGCAGGTCGCACATGGTGTTTGGCAGGGTCACTGATAAAGTCATTCCCCGAAGGGAGGATCCATGGCTTCAATATTTTGGCAGTGAAATTCGCCTCGCCCAAGTCGGGGCACTGGTCATAAATCAGCCCATCTGGATAGGGCTCCGAGCGCCAAAACTTCCAGCCGGCATTAACGTCATCGTCGTGACCAAACTTTTCGCTTCGCTCAAGGTTGGAGTAAGCAATACGCGGCTGCCCAACCCGAGAGGAAGCAATATGCGGCTCGTCGGAACGTGCGTCTGTTCACCGCCACTCCTCAACAAAACCTCCACCATAGTTGTCCATAGTATTTAGATAGTAATTATATGCAATTCATTTAATGGAAGGGACTCCTCTATCAAATGCTCGTGAGTGGCTCCTAGAGAACCCCTCTGAAACAGCAACTACTGCCAGTCGGATTTTCAAAGTGCCTAAATCAACGATACAGTCAAGCATCAGCCGACTAGCCCAGCAGCTCCCACACCGAGGGGGCCAGAATAAGCTACTCTCTACTGCGCAGACAGAGGCCATAAAGAAATGGATCCTTGAGCAGTATTACCTAGGGCTTGGAGCAACTAGGAATATGATATTTGCTGCTGTCTGTAAGCTGCGGAGCCCACAGCTGCCCCCGTCACAAAGCTGGCTTACAAAATTTATACAGAATGAGCTTAAGGAATATCACTTTATTACTACGAAGCCAATTGCGCAGCAGCGTACGAAGGCTCAAGATGAGCCTACAGTTCTAAAGTGGTTTCAAGAGTACGGCTGGTTTATACTAGATAGAGCGTGGTATAAAACCAGAGTCAATCTGGAATATGGATGAAACTGGCTTTCGGGTTGGGATTCCAGGTGGAGAGCGTGTGATTGTGCCACAAGCCGCAAAGGAGCTCTACACCCCAAGCCCTGAAAATCGTACGTCTATTACTATACTTGAGGCTGTGTCTGCAACTGGAAAAGTCATACCGCCTGTACTTATAATTCCGGGCAAAATACACATGGATTCTTGGTACCACGCCAACCTTCAAGGCACAGAGCTCATCATGCTCTCTGACACTGGATTTTCAAACAGCCAGCTTGCCTTATGGTGGCTAGAGCACTTTGCAGAGCATACTCCCTCTGAGGAAACGAAGGTTCTACTACTTGACTCTCATGTGAGCCATACAAGCGATGATGGCAGAAAAACACAATATTATCATATACACATTCCCATCCCATCTTACTCATATTTTACAGCCACTAGATGTGGGGATCTTCCAGTCGTATAAGCACTGGCACAGAGAGGCTGTGCTTGCTATGGATGTTACATATGACCTACAGTCCTTTATGAGGGATCTTACCAAAATGCGGCTACAGACTTTTTGTCATACTGACATTCCTTGCACTCAGTTTGCTATCAAACTCAAGAGCAAACTTAGAAATCTCCTCCTCAAACCTACAAGTCACTATACATATTTTGGCTTGTCACACCAACAACAAGAGCAATACTACTCAACAATTGCTACAACCCTCTATGATTCATTACACATCATTGCTCCTTAGTTACTGGGCCGATATGACCACATAGCATATCTCTACAACCCTCTATGATTCATTACATGACATCACTCCTTAGTTACTGGGCTAATACTACACATGACATATCTCTATCAACTAGAGGCCTAGGAATATGAACGATAGCTCCAAAAGCTTCTACAACCGTCTATCATTCATTACACGTCATCGCTCCTTAGTTACCCACAAGATTGGTTAAGTTATGACATAATTTGTCTATAGGGGTACTCTGACCTTGGACCTCCTTTCACTTCCTATAGGCTAGAAACCTAGGAGATGGTTCTGGGATTCTCTTACGTCGACTACAGTTACCAAGCCTGGTTAGTCATGGAAAGTCTTGGAAAATGAGAGAACTACACTCCTTTAGCATAAATAGGATTGCCCTTTCCTTAAGAAAGGGCAAGCAGACAATACAGTAAATGGACTATCACATACTTCCACGTCTTTTCCAAGCTTGCAAGCATTGATCTTGTTACTCATTGTTTCTGAAAAGTCAGTGAGGTGCTAACCTCTGACTTATCCCTGAGTTCTCAGACTCAACATTTGTTACAACTGTCTAAACCAACTGTCTAAACCACTCCACTACATCATACACCTGATTGCTGCGTTGTGGAATAGTCTAAGCTACAACCCTTTGGCTCTTTTTCCTAAGACAGTGTGTTGTCTTAGTAAAATCATCCCTTCCTTGGGTGGCTAGATTCTCACATCTGGTGCACCCACCATTACATTTCTGCTGTTGTTAGCGGGCTTGATCGATAACCCACCACTAACGCGACGCGTTAATGTGCTCAGTGATAACCCCAAGACCTGTGACGCCATATATAAGTTTTTATATTCACCATTTTCAACGCCAGTTATTGCCTGAGTAATACGAGACTCTAAATCAGCCGTCGCTATGCTTTTCCTAGGTACCATTGTTGAGTTATTCAAGTTATAGGTTAGAGGTCCTCGGTAATCATTTGCGTTACGCCACCCTTTGCGTTACACCATGACGTAATCGTCATGACCAAACTTTTCGCTACGCTCAAGGTTGGAGTAAGCAATACGCGGCTGCCCAACTCGAGAGGAAGCAATACGCAGCTCGTCACAATTACGACCATAAGTACCTCTCCATAGTAATTTGTATGTAAAGGTACATAATTAAGCCATTATATGAAATTATCACTTCTTCGCTCCCACTCCTACCCTCTCTCCCACTCTCACCCTCGCCCTCGCCCTCGCCCTCACTCTCGACCTCAGTTTGGAGGGCTTCCGGGTCAGGAATTAGGTCCTCAAACTCTGGAGGAATTGGGAGGCCAGCTTTCCGAAGAGCTGCTACCCCTTCTTTCGGAGGTGCTCTTCCTTCCGGGCCTCAATTCCTGCCCGGCAAAGCTGCTTTTGGGCCCGGTTGGCAGCCTGGCGGGCTACTCAAACCTGCTTGGCCTCAAGCTTCTGAGCTGCTAGCTCAGCTTTCTCGGCCTGAAGCTCATGAGCGTGAGCTGCCGTAAGCTCACCTCCAAACTGAAGGCAAGCCCGGCTTCAGCTCGACCGCTTCTTCGACTCCTCAACCTGGCATCGAAAAGCCAGTAGGTCAAGCTCTTGAAGCTGGCCTCCTACTACAACCTCTTTCATTCCTGTGAGCCAATTCTTGTAGCTCTCCCTCGAGGGGCTACTAAAACCCTCTGGAACCCGTTGTTTCAAGTACTGTAGCCCCTCTTCAACCCCCCTAAAAGTCGAGGGTTTTGGTGTAGAAACCCGTATAGGTAGAGGCGTAGCTGTAGGCATAGGAGCAGGCTGTGAGTACGTACGTAGCTTTGCGAGAGCTATAATGTGGTTTACTGGCCAAATTCCTGCTTTCTGGAAAGCTGATATAATTGTAGACTCCTTAAAAGTGTAATGGTGGGTGCACCAGATGTGAGAATCTAGCCACCCAAGGAAGGGATGATTTTACTAAGACAACACACTGTCTTAGAAAAAGAGCCAACTTCCCCATCCTCCCCCTCCCTCCTTCCATCACCCCGAGTCGGAGCAACCGCGGGAGCGGCAGCGGTGGGCAGTTTGCCCACAGCAGCCACCAACTCCCCCAAGAGAGCAGGAACGCTCTCCTGTTCCATCCGAAGACGGCGCAGCGACGACCGAATTTGCTGCCCAGAGTCAGCATCAAAACCATACCGAGTCACAAGGGGAAGGGGGGATACTCACGGCCAGCCCCAACTCGAGGGCAGCCCGAGTGGCGCGTGCCTCCTCGTAGAGGTCACGCTCCGCCTTGGAGCGGAACTTGGGCATGCTCTGGGCGGCCAGGAGGGCCACCCGATTGGCCTCGGTGGCGGCGGCGACGACTTCGGCGAGGATGAGGGGGGTGGCCTCTTCGGCGGCCAGGAGGGCCGCAAACTCTTCCCCGAGGAACCAGGGCAGCTTCCACCAAAGTCAGCAACGGCCAACCAAACCAAACACCGAACCCCAGAAGAAAACCTACCGGGACGCAAGGCGAGTGCTGCGCGGTGCAGTACCCACACTTCGAACTGGTCGAGGACCAGACGCAGTCGTGGGACTGGATTCCACGGGCTTTGGCCCAAAGGCAGCGCAAACAGAGCACACGGAAGGCAACCGTAAGGGCCCCGGAGGGGGTCGGAACTGGCATCGTCGATTCTTTGGATTTGAATGGAATCTGCGATTCCGTTAGCCAAGCCCAAGTTATCACCAGCGCGCCAACGCGCTCCCATCACCTACTCGTTCGTTCAGATTGTGGATATCCTATACAATCAGTTAGTAGACGATCAAGAAACGGACGGGGAGTGGCCACTTACTGGTCTCGGAGGTCGGTTTGTGGGCGTTGTTGTTGTGAAGCAATAAAAAACGAGAAAGTGGGCGAAGCTCTGAACTCAGATTTGGCTTACAACAATGACACCCGAATCGGGTTAGCGCAGCTACCCTCCTTGCGCGATGGGGAACTTTCGACGCGTACCTGTAGCGGATACCTCCCGGTGCTCATTCGGACCATCACCACTAAGCTAGAGATTGAACAAAGAAAACAAAAAGTAATTGCATACCAGACGGAGCTGATACGGTAGTACTGCTCCAGGATTATTTTTTCCATCTCCCGGCACATCAGACCAATGCGGTTGTCACTAATGCGGCCACTGTCATACTGACATTCGTTGCACTCAGTTTGCTATCAAACTCAAGAGCAAACTTAGAAATCTCCTCCTCAAACCTACAAGTCACCATACATATCTTGGCTTATCACACCAACAACAGAAGCAATACTACTCAACGATTGCTGCAAACTCTTCTACTACATCTGTTTATGCTACATACATCACGGCATATCATTTGGACACTCATTGAACAAGTTATTAAGAAAATCTCCTCCTTAAGGGGGTGGGCCAATACTACCACATGGCATATCTCTACCAACTAGAGGCCTAGGAACATGAACGATAGCTCTAGAAGCTTCTACAACCCTCTATGATTCATTACACGTCATCGCTCCTTAGTTACCCACAAGATTGGTTAAGTTATGACATAATTTGTCTATAGGTACTCTGACCTTGGACCTCCTTTTCACTTCCTATAGGCTAGGAACCCAAGAGATGGTTCTATGGGATTCTCTTACGTTCACTACATGATTAGCAAGCTAGTTGTGGGTCGCACTTGATTTCTAATACATTTACCAAGCCTGGTTAGTCATGGAAAGTCATGGAAAATGAGAGAACTACACTCCTTTGGCATAAATAGGATTGCCCTTTCCTTAAGAAAGGGCAAG